GAAACTGTTTCTCAGGTTTGCACAAACTGATTTTACCTTTGTCCCAAAAACGAAGTAAACCTGGAACCTCAGTCCCTCCCCAAGTGCCCTGGAAGCCCACCGGATTCAGTCCGCACCCACAGATGTGACTAAGCTGTCAAGATTTCTCCACCAGGAAGTCCTGTGATATTGGGTAAGTGTTGTATACAAGTATGGGCAGAGGAGAGTGACATAGCCACACCAAGATTTTGGCTATCCACCACATGTCACAGTGAAGTGTTTCATACCTGTCCTGGAAATACTGGCCAATGGAGGTACCAAAGCTGGGTGCCCACCTCACAGCCTGAATATTAGCTTAGGGTGTAGGCAGTAGGGTTTAAACCAGCTGCTGGACAGGTGTGCACTGTCTCACTGTATGTGAACCTGTTTAAGGTGATACCTTGCAAGCTGCATGGTTTTTTGATAATGACTCTTAATTTTTTATAAACATATGGTGCATGTCTTAGTAGAATTGTAATTATTTAGGGATACAGTTTACTTTGGAGATGTTCTAAAAAATAAGTAGGTACAAAACCAAGGTGATCCACATTTAGGATTTGCTGGTTGTTACCAGGACCTGTTTGATAAGACACTTTATGGAGGGTTTCAACTTAGGAACTTCTGATTCTGCACCATGTAGGATATGACTCCTTAAAGGATAAGGCCGGGCATGGATTGAAACCGACAATGGATTGAAACACTGACAGACATTAACTATGAGTATAGGGAGTTCATAGTTGGTTTTAGTCTCTGTATGGGAATGTTGAAAATACTGTATATAAAATGACCAACCTTATCTTTTAAGTATCGCATGGTCACTATACATTTTGTGTCACAGAATAAATCGTTTTGCCAGATATTTTTATTTTTAGGAAGGCAACTTTGTGGTACCCAAAGGTCACACGAGTCATGAAACTGCATTTCGGCATTAAGTTTTCCATCTGCTAATTGGCACAAAACTGCTTTCATGAAGCTTTTCTTGTCAAAACATGATAACCAGGTGTAAAAATGTCAAAAGACAGACATAATGGCACAGATGCAGCATGTGATACTTGGTGCCGCACGGTGACTAGAATCTTCTCCTCAGGTGAAATTGGTGCAGGGGCCTGGTTGATTGGCAGTCAACTACTCCACAGCTGGACAGGCTTTCTTGCCGCCTTGTGGTGATTTCCCTGACACCCATAGTTTGCTAATTAGCTATCTCTGGCATCGCACACCTGCACAGACTGCAGGGGGTTTCTGGGAGCTTGGATATACATAATGAGATATTAAGACATGCTTTTTAAATTTCAATGAAGGCACAAAATAAAAGACAGGTCACAATCTTGTATGGTTAATTTAGGTTCTTGACTGACAAACTGGTCCGTTTTACAAAAACGAATTGATTTGAGTGAATTTGAGATTAACATTTGCCAAAAAGTGTCTCATCTCCACTAGACCTTGCACTGAGGTTTGTTGGATTGTCTTGTTTTTTTTTTGCTATAACAGTTTTCCTTCATCTCAGCTGCTAAGAACATAGTAATGATCTGATTGGTGGCTACCGTCTTCACGGTTCATTACCCTGCACAGTTAAACCACTGTGGGATCTTGCAATGGCTTCCCCAGCTTAATGACAAAACATAATGCAGTGGAGAGAAAAGAGCTCCAGTTAATGAAATGTCTGAGGCTGCACACTTGATAGAACATGATAAGTCTGGCTCACGCTGACGCATTACCTCTCGCAGGATTTCCTCATCCTCCTCCATATGAAAAGCCCATCTATGTAAGATACGAATTATCTCATAAAATCGCTCTATAGAATTATTTTGGTATTATTTTAGCTGGAGTACACAAGTGTGAATCATGGATGTTTATTAATTTTTCGTGTGAAGAATCTGGACTCCTTGCCACTTTGCCACCATTGTCAGCCGGTAGCCTGACAGCCAGCACAAAGTTGATTTTACTCCAATACCAAGTTTTTCATCATAATTCAGTTGCTTTTCAGCCTTCTTTGGTGTGATGCATGAAGGGGGATTTCTCTTGCTGCCAAGGACAGAATGACTTTGTCAGTCTGTTTGAGTGTTCTCTTAAAAAAATGGACTCCTGTCAGCAAGCTCCTGTCCTGCAATTTTCTCAAATTGTTGTTTTCTGCCTCAGGCCATGAATTTCTTTCCCATCACTTTTTTTAGGAACCCAATAGAGAAAACACAAGATATTTTTTACCCTTCTGGTAATTTTGCTCCTTCCTGAGCTTATAACAAGGCACTACTTCATAAAACTCATTTTGTTTCTTGCCAGAAGTGCCCCAAAACATTTCTTCATATCCTCCTCCTTTTAATCTGTTCCTAATTAGCCTCTAGAGTTAGTCACCCCAAATATCTCATTAAGTTGGCAGCGTAACTAGATGGCATCTCATACAGCTGTGACAGACTGTTGTCTTTAAAGTAAAAGGATGTCATGGCTGGGACAATTTCTGTTCAAACTGGCACATCCCTTGTTATGAGATGATCAAATGTATTGTTTTGTATGTTTTAGGCTTTAACTTTAGTCCCTGGTATGTGTCAGATGTATTGTATTTTTCATGTTTTACAAATGCTCTTGTTTGTGTGACAGTTAAAAATATGTATTGCCTGGTTTGACTTTTTTTCCCCCACCTTTCTTCCTGAAATCTCATAAAGAGAACATGAAATAGAAAACAGAAATTAACCACTGGTGTGTCACTAGGACTCCTTATCAATTAATCATAGTAACAGCTTGTGGTTAAGGAGCTTCATGGCATTTAACCTACAAGGCTATAAAGGGCAGCGATAAGTTGAATGTTTCCTGTAACAGAGATATATGTGTGTATATATATATATATATATATACTTGGCTGCTTTTCTCTGTGTGTAAGAAGACTGCAAGCCTGCACCATGTTTGTAGTTGTCACTGTGTTCAGATGTACGTACGTATGAGTTTAAAAATAAGGAGACTGTAAAGGCGGACTAGTGATTAGATGAGTCTCCTGCATTCAGCATGTAAAATCCCATGTAGTCTCAATCTGGTTTTATTTAGCCACTTGTTAGCAACCGCCTTTTAAAAAAAAACAACATGTATAAAGGCATTCAAACTCATGACTGGGGTATTTACTGGTGTATTGTATATTGTAGAGCAAAATGTGAAAACATATTGACCTTGTGTTAACCACAGACCTTATTTCATACATCCAACCAAAAATGCCACAGACCTCATTGTGAGGGAACCGGAAGTGCAAAAATGCTAACTCGCTTCCGGGTTTTGGGACTCACTAATACGGCCCACTATTCCCAGTTCCTAAGCAAAAATGGAACAGGAAGTTGTATCCTTGTAACATTTGTACAACATTAACCTAAATTAAACATTTTTGTTTTCATTTTTGGTCATATTGGTCTAATGTTTTCTTTTAGCAGTTATTCTCGTACACAATAACTTTATTTATTTTTTTTTTTGTCATCACTGTGTTGTGATTGCTGGTTTATTGATGTCAAAACTAAACACAAAACTTGTGTCTGTACCATTTAGCTGCATGGACACATCAAAGACGTGGCTGCCTCATCAGGGTCAGTTTGGGTTGGTGGGTCAAGCGGAGGTTTGCTGTGGCGGACCCGGAGTTTTAACCCCAAGTGAGTCAGTTTAGCCCCAAACCGGTGAACTTTTTTCCCCACTGTGACCTGTGCTTACTGTAATCTCCCAGCCTCTCCTCCAGTCTGTCGTGGTCCAATAAGGTTTTTCTCTGTTATATATGTTTTTCTATGTTCCCCTTTAATCTGCTGTTTTGTCTGAGATCCACTGACACTGCTGTCACCGATGGTTAATGAAAGGTTTAATGTACATTTTGGCTTCAACTGTACTGCTCTGCTCTTTTTCCTCTGCCAAGATTTTTCAGACCTCCTCACTTCTATGAAGCTTTACAAAAGTACCCGACTATACTGAGAATTTGGTACCACTCAATCCTCCACTGGAGCATCATTCACCCTCTCAGCCCTGCATTGTCACACTTCCAGAGTTTTATTTTGATATCCTCTAGATTTTGATAGCACCATTTGCCTTTTACATGGACTTTGATAGTCTTTCTCCTCTCTTTACTTCCCCAGATGAAAGCAGCCTTTTCTGCTCCAGGACAGGAAGAGAAATAATTTTCTGTTACTTAGTGCAGCTTTAGAAAATGGTCTGGTGAGATAATTCAATACCTCAGTATAGTTGGTGTTAAGAGCTTCAAATTGCTGCTTGATCTCTAAAATGTCATAATCACCATTTTCAGCTCTTTAATTTGAGTCTGCTCATTTACAAGTACGGCAAAAATACAGCTAAATACATTATTAACAATGAAGGTAGTTTGATGGTGAGCTCAAGCTGCGAACGTGTTCCTATGGTAACTAGGCCACACTCCTCTTGGCTATCTCACAGAGGCAGAGGGACTGGCAAGAGGGAGACAGGAATGCTGGAAAACACATGATGGAGAGCAGCTTCAGATTGCTTATTTAGGTTATACTCATTATGCTTTTGTCTGTTCAGGGCGCATTTAAAATCCTCCTACCTCTGGGTTCTGAAAATGTGTTGCAGCATGTTAGAAGTCACTTTTTTTTTCCATTACTCGAAAAATGTCTGTCAATTGTTAAGTTGATCACAGTTGTTTTTTCCTCCTGGCTCCCTCCACCCACCTCTGCTTTCAAATCCTGCAGCCGTACCTCTTTTGTGCATTTGTTTTATTCGAGTACTGTTTCTAAACATAGCACCAGAGTCAAAAGTGTCGCTGGCACTTTTTTTTTTTTTTTTTTTTTCATAAACCCAACAATTTTTCTCTAAACAGCTTGTACTATGTAGAGTGCACAATAGAACCAGTCTGAATATATCAGCTCCTTGTGGTTTGCAGTCAAAAGGCAGTTTAATTGGTATTAAAGCACCAGACATCACAAGACAACTTTGTTCCGCCAAGCAACAGACTCTCTAACTAACAGCAGTGAATGTCTATATACAGTATATGTGCTTGGCATTTCCAATGTCGTTATGAATTTTGTACATCATTGCTCACGCTTAAACCATGTCAGACCTCATGAAGTGAAGCTGCCAGCTTGTCAAAGAGCCACGTGGCTGATGCAGTGTGGGTTTCCTCCTGTCAGTTATGCAGGCTGATTATTTTGACAGTGCACTATTAATGAATGGCCTTAACCTTCTGCACACATTTACATTGTTTATGTGGTTTTTCAATAGCTGCGATGAATTCACGGTGGCAGATAAACCACCTTTGACCCAGTGAACTTTAGCAGTCGGTGTTTATTTTCTTAAACAAGCACTTTGAGTGTTGTGTTAACTCGAAGAGTCAATGCACCCACATTTGAAAAACATATTTTCTCATGTGTCCCTTGTGGTATCTGTGTAGAATTTCTTTTGTGCCAGATGGTTGTGATGCTCTCCTCTGAAACTAATGTCACCACTCGAGCTTTCACTGAAACACCTTTCTGCCAATGTATGAGTCTTTGGACCTAGTTTCTAGTTACTTTTTAGCGCCACTAGTAAAATTCCTTTCATCTTTCACCATGTATTAAATTTAGTTTAACATTTTTTCCATTCACAGTTCTATGATGTGCAGATTTTGCAGTAGGGCAATTTGGTTTTAGTTAGGCTACCTTGACATACTGACTTAAATTAGCATTGGAGCTGTTTGAAAAATGGCAAATTCCCTGCTGTAGTTTGTTGTTACCACGAACAATATTTACAGTTTTGAATATGGCAATTACACAGACTTCCATATGACATGAGTATGACATGAGTGTGACATCTGGCCCAGTAGACCTGTCTGTGAGTCACCAAAAGCTCCTTGTTGTCAGGTGCTCCTGACCAGATACAGTATAATGCGACCTTGTGAGTGTGTCTATTACTGGAAACACTGTCACTCAAAGACCATCACCATTGTGGACAGTCACAATAAAAGTTCAGGTCCATTCAGATTTTTATTTTATTTTTTTGTAAAAGCTCAGCTCCCCGCCTCAGTGCATGTGACATAAAACAAACTGAAATATGGCAGATGTCAAAGAGCACAGCACCTCATTTAGTAGCATAAACAATGCAGATATTCATAATGACTGCAAAAGCAACCTATGATAAATGATTGTATTAAATAAGCTTAATGGATATTCTGCATTATATTTATGTTCAGCTGCTGAGGTTGGTTAACCCAAAATTTTGGGAAAATTCAGTATACTATATAAACATTTTTCATTAGAGAGGACGCACTCAAACTAAAATAAACGTTCCAAGCAAGTGAAAAAGTGTGGGGCTGTTAACTGTTTTGTAATGTGTGAAAACTTTTTCACGTTTAATCTTGAGCCTTTGTTTTTGATAAAGTGCATCTGCAACCAACAAACAGGCACTGCTTAGGATGATTTGTAGATAAGGATGCACCGCTCCAACTTTTCTTTCTGATGCTCACCCTGATTCCTCAGCTTAGGGTAGTGATAGAGAGAATGAAGCTTTCTGAATCACTGTGAACCAAATGTGCTGGAAAGTGTTCACTGTTGTGAAGAACTTGACACAGTAAAATTTGCAACATCAGTTCTATAAATCCTTGATATTGCATTTGTATGGGCGAAGTAAATCTGAAACCAATGAAAGAGACAAACAAGTGATCTTAATATTTTTAAATTATATTTTGTGTATTGGTTGTAAGCAGACTATCACTGTTGAATACAATGGCAGATTTTTTTTCTTGTCATTTTTGCTTGCTAAAGTAACATAGTAAACATACTATACATTATACCTGCTCAACATCATCACATTAGCATTGTCATTGTGAGTCAGGGTTTGAACATCTCTGACTCTTCTTTGCATCCATTACAGAGCTATTTGTGGCACTTTTCATGTGTACAACACAACACTGTGCGATGCTGTGAATGTGTTCCTGGAGAGAGTGTCTGAAAATGTGCACAATTCTCTCTCTTTATTGTGTATATACCGTTATCTGTATCCCCAGGTTCTTTATGACAGTCGGCTCTTCACTCCGTCGAGTGTAGCCATTTGACTGATGGATAAATAGGTTTATTGTCAAAGTTGATAAATCGATTCAGCAGATTGGACCAATTCATCCCTCACAGTTTTGCTAATGATTGATGAATGTGTACCATGGGCTGCATGGAAAGTCTAATTAAGTATATGTTTTGGTAGACGAATAGCTGCTCTGAGATTTAATTATTATTAGCGACCATATTGTATAGTTTGTATTTTGGTAGGGCTGCTTATATCGTGATCACTTGGTTTGAGAGATGGCACATTGTATCCTTCTACTGCATTTATTTTTAATCTATAACAAAAAAAAAAAAATCCAACCTGTGAAAAAGGTTGATTTTATACAGTTTATTAAAAAATAAAGTTTCCAAATATGTATTAATAGAGAGAGATATGCTAAAGGTTGAGTATGTTTCTCCAACACCCACATGCAGTCTTCCTCTTTCTGTCTTTCTCTCCTTCAGTATCACAGTTAGCTAGAGGCTGTTGCCACCCACACACACTGTCCTGACAGCAATTTACATTCCGAATAGCCCATGCGAACACGTCTGTGTGGTTTAGTATGTCACATTTACTTAGAACACCACAAGTTGCGGATGATGATGTTTTAAGTGGCAGTGCTGTTAAAATCTCAATATGGGAGATATTCCACCGCAGGATCATTGAGCCAGTTCGATAAAGCCCTACCTCAGAGAAGTGTCAGAATTCACCCCACATGAGACACAAAAGAACCTGGAGCATTTCTCCTGTTGGCAACTGATCAGCCTGATCAGTTCACTCATGTGTGTTAGCAGAAACAGTGTTCTGCAGCATGTTACTGAGTGTTTTCCATCATCTTTATTGCGCCGTTGTGTGCCAATATCTTCTACAGTTCAAGTAGAAGACCTTGGAGTTGTTTCCGTGGATACCAAACAATTAGCTGTGATTCAGAATAGAACCTGGAGAGTAGCCTATTTACAGGCTTTGAGAGCGAGGAAATCATAGGATGACAGTGTCTTGATTCTCTTTTGTGTGTGTGTGTGTGTGTGTGGGGGGAAGTTACACATTACCTTTGGGTAATGTGTAATTTAATAAAACAATGCCCCAACAGATCAATCACAGATAAAAATAGAAGAGCAGAGTGAATGTCAACATGAAACATGATCTCTTTTCTTAGCTTTAAAAAGAAAGCCTATAGATGAATCGGTGACATTTTATGCAACACTTCAAAGAATCAGACAATTTTGGTAGCTTAAAAATGCATCAAATCCTAACAGTATCTGAGTATAAAAACAGCATGGCTTTATTGTACAACCAGGGCTGAAAAATCATCCTCAAGTAAGGGTCACACTCTACCTTTAGACACGCTTTATCTGCCTTTGTATTGCTGACATTATAGCAGGCGATGCGCCAGTCACACCAATGTAATTTTCCTTTGGCATGAATGCTGCAGTATCAGTTGCCAATAGCATTTTTTCACATTAAATAAAGGAATATAATTAATTTAAAGGTTATTATAACTCATCTTACAACAACTTGTACAGGCACATCGGTCTCAACACTTGCCACCATTTTTCTTTCTCCATTTTCTTCTTGTAGTACAATACCAGACCTATCTGAATCATTGAACATGTAGGCGGTGATTTACAGGTCTGGAAGTAGGCTAGGAAATAGGACAGCATTTCAAGTGAAGGGAAAACAGGAGAAAATTTACATTGTGCTGCAAAACTGTCCCATAAAAATATCCTCTCCTGCTCCTGGGCATTGGCCTGATCTTTCTTAGTCAACGCATAGTCATGTAGTGGAAGAATCATACTTGAGCACCTAAATATAACTGCTCAAACTCTGATAGATCTATCACCATGTTCCACTGTTTGCACAAGCCTAAAGTCAGACAAAGAGCAGAAAGTTCAAGATGACTCAATATATTTCATCCTTTGATAATACAGGTGTCTAATGTAGTTCTCACGTAAGGGTTTTTTCATTTTCCACTGGCCTTGGATTCAAAGTGTTTACTTTTTATTTATATATTTATTTATTGGAAGCTGTAGCTGTCTGTCCTTGTTGGTGAGCTTTGCTTACTGTACACCTACTATTCTGCGTTCTTGATGTGATTAGTGTGTGTTCTGTCATGATTTGTGATGCCGTTTCCCTTTCTATATGTGGCTAAAACAGCTGCAAGGTATTAATACAAGCTATACAATATAATGTAGTAAAATGTCTCTTGAAAATATAAGTAATATAAGTTATGGCACTGTAAAAGTTGGAACATATTGTCAAGAGATATTACTTCAATAACAGTATAATAATTCAAGTTATTGTACTGTAAATCAACATTATCCATTAACTTGTTATGTACTTTATGAAAAACTACTGTGCTAATGTTTTAATGGTTATGAGCTTTTTCAAAAGACTTTTTGTTATTACATCATCATATTGATTAATGGTTGTCACAGACATCTCTGTACTTGTGTTCATGTTGTTTGAATACCTGTTAAGAGCGTCAGTGCAAAGGTGACACACACACACACACACACACACACACTGTTGTCATTCCAACATAAAATGACTCAGCTGTGTGACTGTCTGTCTGTGCAACGTGCAGTTTCTCCTTGTAGCCCTTTCCTTTGTTACTTAGACTTTTTTCAGCATTCAAAAAAATTTTCATTTGTTTTGGCACCAAATCTTGAACCTTAAAATACAGAAAAAAACGTTACCCCTTTCTTACTTATTATTCCGTATCTCTCAAATGGCTGCCACATTTTTTTATAGCTGAGGCCTGTTTTGACATAAGCTGCTGTAATTATTTAATACAATGTGTAAATGATGTCAGATTTTGTTGGCACAAATGATACGGCAAAATTTTATGTATTGGCAGCCCTAAAACAAAATGATACATTTAAATGACCTTAACAGCCATATGTCTAACCCTCTTGCAGTTTTGCACAGTTCATACTTGTACAATATTGTAGTATTCTGATGATTCATCTGTAATTTAACCCTGTAAAGCCCAACACATCAAAAACTAGCCAGAACAGTCACATTTTTTGGACATGAGATGTTTATTAAACCTTTTAACAAAACCCAAAAGAAAATTCAAGATTCAAAATCCAAGATTCAAGATTTTTATTTGCCATTTATGCATAGACACAGTCCAGGCATATAGGAATAAATGTGCCATATTTTTATTTTGTTTGTATCACATTTGATACATGGGGCATTTTTGGCGATTTCTATCTGCTCAGAAACTGCTGTATCAAATATGATACAAATGGCTTTATAGAGTTAAGAAAAATATTGAGCCAGATAGTTTTATCTGCATTACAAGTTGAATGGTTTATATTCTTTTTTTTTTTTTTTGTCTGTTTTTCACATTTATTTCTGACATTTTTTCTCATAGATTTTATTTTTGGCACTGTTTTACTATAGACCAATCTCGCAGGGCAAGTTTTGCCTCTGCAAGGCAGTCAAGCATGGAAACCCCTCCAAATGCCACCCCACAGCCCTTCAGACAACCGGTGAGTACAGTAAAACGTGTTACATTTCACACAAAAACACGTACAGTTTGACTTTTTGGGCCCAGTGTGCTATTGTACTAATTCTTGGCAATGTGATGCTTTAATGAGCGTTTACACTTTCCTCAGAAACAAAGCTGTAATTTTTATTTATTTTTTTATTTTTTTATTTTAAGATAAGCCTTCTAGTAAATTGTACATTACAGTATTTTTTGTTTTTCTCTTTTCCCTTGTGGAATCCTCAGAGTTTTCTCAATCGAAGGTTGAAGGGTTCCATCAAGAGGGCCAAAAGTCAACCCAAACTGGATCGGACCAGCAGCTTCAAACAAATGATTTTGCCCCGGTTTCGTAGTGCTGACCAAGAGCGGTAGGTAACGTATTACGTGAGACGTATAATTCAAGGTAATACCATTTGTCCAGCTTCTAGTTGCATATTCTAAATTAGTGTCACAGGGTTGGAGCCTCTCCCAGCATGTTTTGGGACAAAAGTCAGGGAGACACTTCAGGCATACTGCCAGTTTATGACCAGATCAACAAATATATTTTTACCTGTGTGGCATTTAGTTCACTGGAGAGGCCATGGTTGCAAATAATCATGTGTTTCCTTGTGAACACAACATCTTTAAAAAAAAAAAAAGCATTGTTTTTGCATGACTACCAAATAATAATTTATCATCTTATAGCTACCCAGAAGTGTTTTGTCATGGACAGTAGATTAACATTAGTGTTTTTTTTTTTTGATGTGGTAATCATCTTTAATCAGTAGGCATTGTCATTGAATGTGGGGGAAATATTATGAAAGGCAAATTTTAGGCAGTTGTTAATTAAATATCTGTACAATAGAAAAACAGAACAATTGAAGGAGAGTGTTTTATATGCACAAGGCTAATGGGAAATGGCACTTACTGTAAAAAACTAAACAAACAAACAAAAAAAGCGACATCTGTATACTCCAAGCCACAGAGTTACAGTTTATTTAATTTATAAGTGCTCCTGCTTCTGTGGATACATTATTAAATAGAATTTTCAGACAGTTTGTCCAGATGAAAATCTGACTAGGATCGCAATGCTGTCTTTTTGAATAAGTTTGTAGCTTGGAGTGTTTTCATCAGCACACAAAAATAAAAACTGTCATGAGTCTAATTTTGGTAAAAGATTTCTAGAAGTCTATTGGCCATTCTAGTGGAATTGCGTACATTTAATTACATCAGTATCATTTTATCTTCTATCTAACATTAGGATGCAGTTGCTTGCCGCTTTAGAGGCTTTCACGACAGCTTTTTTTTTTTTTTTTTTAATTCTGACGCAAGGTCACATCCTGGGGGAACCTCACTTGCCTTGTGTTCAAATTTTTATGCATTCCTCACACAATCCAGTCACAGTGCACACATGGGAAATGTAGAGAGGCAGAAAGTTAAAATGTAATGCTGACAGTACACCTTCTTTCTGTAACAGGAGATGTATAACATTTTTAGGGCAAGTGTGATTGTCCCACAACGTGGAATGTGTCATGTAGCTAAAAATGTAATAAATAAAAATTCTTCCAAAATGCTGGGGTAAGCGCCAAAGCAGGAACCCAAAATATGATATATTAACCTGAGGGATTCTGTGGAGGCAATAATGGAGGAGGTGCGGGAAGCATAATGGTGTCAGGGTTAAAGTGGCGTCCTGACTCAGTCAGTATGCTCTCCCCTCTCACCACAGCCGTTCACTGGCTCCCACCACTGCCTCAGACAGCTGCCTTCACAGCCTGCTTCGAGCTCTGCCCACACATGCTTAATTCACTCAGTGCTGCTAAGTTGACTTTGCTATAAACCCTTCGTGTCCAAATTCACACTTTAGCTTTCCAGCACAGCTGCTCTACCTCTACTGCCAACTCAGTTTACCAAAGCATTTTTCATACACCGTAGTCAGCGATGACGCTGTAATCTAGACGATCCACTGATCCACTGCACCTCTGACCACCATTAAATCTGGCCTGAAATTAGTGCTCCTCATTTGCTGCGTTATTATCAGATGGTTTTTCAAAGCTGCTGCTTTTTACAGTTTCTTCCCTGTTTTTCTTTGCCCTCATTCTCTCTCATGTTCAAAGCTAATGTTTATAATGATGCTGATTTCTAACTCCAGCTTTCCAGCGTAGATAACCCCCCCATTTTCAGTTCACTGTTTTTCACAAGTGGTTTCAGAAAATGTTGAAGGAACAGTTATACACACTGGGAAACATACTTGTTTGCTTTCTCACAGAGTTACAGTATTGGGGGCAGCTGTGGCTCAGGAGGTAGAGCGGGTCGTTTCCTAACCGGAGGATTAGCGGTTCGATTCCCGGCTTGTCCAGTCAACATGTCGAGGTGTCCTTGAGCAAGACACTGAACCCCCAGTTGCTCCCGGTGATGTCACCGGTGTGTGAATGCGTGAGTGCTTGGGAGTGTGAATGGGTGAATGGCCGAATAATGTGAAAGCGCTTTGAGTGTGCTGTAAAAGCATAGAAAGGCGCTATACAAGTATAAGACCATTTACCATTTAAATGAGAAGATTATTATCACTCACGTCTTTATGGTGTGAAGCCAGCAGCCGTTAGCTTAGCACACTGAGAGAGACAGGTTGGCTTGATTCAAATGCAAATACCTGTCTGCTAATGCTTCAAAAGTTTAAAAAACATCCAGCACATAAAACTACAACATACAAATAACATGCTTTTATAGTTTTTATAGTGAGATATATACAGTATAGTTTCACATTCAATCTCTATTTGCTGTACTTTAAGCTAATGTACAGCTGAACCTAAACTCACTGACTGAGACTGTAGCACACATGCTGCAAGTTGCACCGATAATAAATGTAATTTGGTTTGCCTCCTTTCCCAAGAATTTGTCAGCAAAAATGTGCTACTTTTTGTTTTCAGTTGGCCGACCCATGCTTCACCTGAGAGAGACGGCCTTGGTTTACCTTTTAGCTTTCATTTCCACCACCTCTTCTCTTATTTCTTGCTAGAGCAGCCCTCCTCAGAAGGTTACTTTATGATCAGGACACAGTCCTCCTCCTCCTCTTTTTATAACACTACCCTACTAACACTGCGCTACAATATTCCTCCAGACTATAAGTGCTGAACTGCTTCTCTTGGTTCATGTTTTCCCACCCATATACACAGTAAGCCATACCAACATTATATTTACATTTTGCATTTCCAAACAAGACCACAATTTGAGGCACCGTGGGCCATCTCCTAACACACAGTGTGAGTCACATAAGCCGAGTCAACAGACCAAACTGCAGGCACCAGAACTGAAAGTCTGGTGGTCTTAACTTTTCCATAAACTCATTATGGAAGGATCAGATCTCAGAAATCATACTCAGATTGTAGGAGTGACTCTCAAGAGCTGCAGCAGCTCATTTTGTATTGTATGAAAGCACAGATATATTTATATCTGGATTATAAAAGTAAATAAATCTCTCCTTCTTTCACCAGGACACGCTTGATGCAAAGCTTCAAAGAATCCCACTCCCATGAGTCTTTACTTTCTCCCAGCAGTGCTGCGGAGGCTTTGGACCTAGTTTTGGATGAAGAGGCTATAATCAAACCTGTTCACTCTAGCATTTTAGGACAAGAGTACTGCTTTGAGGTATGTTCAGATGTTAAGTTTAACCGTTTCATTCTTCCTGGTTTCACCTGCCTAATACAGGATTTTTGAAATATCACTATATTCATATACACCTATTCAGTATAATCTGTTGAAGTGTCAAAGACAGCGATTCAGGTGCTGCTACAAGGACACTCCA